CAAGTCAAGGAAAAAAAAAAAGCAAAATAAAAGATTTCTCTTGCAAATGTTTTTGCATTTTCTGTGGATGAAAGAAAATTTGGTATAAACTTTAGATTTTTGACTGAAACATTGTTTGTTTCTAAATGATTTTATACTATTTTAGGTTTCCATAATTTTTAAATTGCCTCACTGTCATTGAAGCTGAAATAACATATACAATATTTTGGTGTTCCTTACAGTTTCTGGGATGTCTTTAATGAGTCAAATATATTGCAAATATTTCAGGGAAGCAAGTCAGCCCTTTCTAGCCACAGATCATTTACCAGAGTTATTCAGCATATTCTGTACTTTGAAAATATAAGGTCACTGCTCGATAAAGGAATGGTGCTCAAATGATTTAGCTGATTCTGAGACATGACCACAAATGTCATCAGTTAGATTGTGAAATGGCTCCTAAGGGATTTTAAATCTGAGAATGCAGAAGAAATTTATATACCAGAAATCTGTAACTGACTCAATATTCATTCCTTTCTGATGGTTATATGTAAAGAATACAGCACAAAACTACTGTAAAAGTGAAAACTTGTTTTATTTGAAAGGAAGCCCACATATTTAAAAAAATCTATGGTTACAAAATGTGAGAAATTTTATATTTGCAGAATAAGTTGCTTTTGTAACCTGTGAAAAAGGAATTAAGTTATTTCCTAAAGCAGAATTCATTAATGTCATTTGTGTAGTTTACAGAAAGAGACAACATTGAGACTTAGGAAGCAGAAAAAATTCAGACTTGTTTCTTTATGAGTCTTTCTTTTTGTTTCCATTTGCCAGAGCTCACATTTATTAAAGCCTTTGAAGCAGTTTTCCTATTAAAAAACTGATCTGAATTTCTTTTAAACTATCAGTAGGTCAATTCCAGTAAATTTCAGGTTTGCATATTTGCTGATCTATAAGGTGAAGGTCCCGACAGAAGCAATGAGTTGATTCACCCTGTGATACACGAGGCTGCTGACACAGGCAAACCCTCTGTACGCTGGAGAAATGCAATCCATGCCTCATTCTACAGAAGCTCCAGCTCATCCCAACAGGGTGAATTAAGGATATTGTTTATTCAATAATTCACTGCTTTAATTGCACCGAGGATGTTATGCAGCATGGAGTTTTACTTGGGATTTTGTTTGCGTGCTCATACTACCAGCACAGCACATCAAGATCTGTGCAAAAACTGAGTAGGAAATGTCAGGTGCTGCCTATCAGCAATTTGGAAATACCTAGCCACTGCTTCTCCTCCATTTACCTGCTCTCCTGTAGAGCTTTATTCACTGAAGCAGAAGCAAAAAAGACCTATTAGGGCACTCATAAATAAAAAGAGCACTCCAGTGACTGGACAAGCTGCTGGAATTTTTTTTTTTTTTTCCTTCTCCACAGTATATATGAAAATTTTTGTCAAGGGACTATATTTCATGTTTCCTTAGGTCAGTAGCACTGGGTTCTCTCCCATCTTCCCAGCCTTGCATTTAATAGCTTCAGTGGATCTGGGACAGGTCCCCAGTGCACAAGTGCTGTATCCTGATGTAGAGCTGCTTCAGTTGCTTATCTGTACATTTGTCTCTGGATTGTGCCTGTCAACTTGTCACTCTTTACTCTAATTACATCCTTTATGATTATTCTATCTTCATCTTCAGTCCCAAAGACCCTATTTTGCCTTTTCAAAACTTGCAGAGATGTAATTGGAACTTATAATACTCAGAATGGAATAGTAAAAGTGCATCTCCTAGGAAAATCTCCCTACTGTTTTCAGTAAGCAGCTATCTCTCCTCTGTCAGGCAACATTTTTGAATGAGGACCAGATCTGCACTTTCATATCTCTGGATCTTTCACATTTTTTGTTTTCTTCTCTCCTTATCTGCCCCTCCCCCCCAAAATTAACAATATTCTCTGAAATGGATGGAAAGTGAGTCCAAATTCTTGGTATTTTAATCTAGACAAGTTCTTCACATGGTACATGGTAATACTTGAAAAAGTGTTGTAAGCAAATGTTTTACTGAACTACTTTTGTATCAGCTACGCAAAGTGGCAAGTTTTAAGGAAAATGAAATACTCAATTAAATCCATTTGTTGCTTCTTAATGGATACCACAAACTTCTTAGGTGCAAACCAGTCTTGGCTTTTTCCCACAGAATATTTCAGTTTGCATACTTGTTTTCATTCTTTTGTTTTGGTCATCTCTTCTCGCCTTCAATAATTTTTGCATTATTCCATAAAAATACTCATCTGGATGCCCAAATGTCTTACTTTTCTAACTCACCAAGTCACACTTCACAAATAATGGTTTTCACCTCCATCAGTGATGTGAATTGCTGTAAGCCTACAACATTCATGGCTGTGGCATCAAAATATATTTGCTCATTTTTTATATATTTCATGAAATGAAATAAATTAGACTGCTGCAAAATGCAATGTATCTGGTTTATGTATCATTGTGTTCTTTATACAGATTGAACTTGTCTGAATATGGAGAGATTTGGTAAGTTAACAGCCTCAGTATCTGAAAGCCTGCAAACTCATTTTTGTATGAGTTTCACTGAAGTAATGTGAAATGGCAACAAGCAGAAAAATAACAATGGGGCACAGTTCTAAGAGAAATAAATGAAGTTCTGAGAGCTTCTTGAATCCTTAAATGCAGACTTCAGGGTTTGATTTCTATTCTTTTCCTTCTTTTCTGCTTTGTGAAAATGGAAATATGGGGTTTCTTGAATCTGTGGAAACATAATTTGCTGCAGATCTGCTTTAATATTTGTGAAGGAACAGCTCTACACAGCACATGACAGTCTGAAAGGTTCATTTAACAACACTATAGCAACCAGTAAATAATTAAACACAGTACTCTATCTCAAACACCAAAGCTAAAGAAACAGGGATAATGAGAGGTTCCTTGGCCAAAGGACACAGGTTACATTAAATCATTGTTATATTGTTTTCCAAGTGGATATTTCTTGCTTTCTCTCATTTCAGCTGTTCTCTTTTAACTAAGGCACAGAGACACACATGTGGGAGGTACATCCTAATGTCAATGAAATAAGAAAGGCTGAATTCTGCGTGCAGAGTGATACTGAGCATTGACACCAGCTGAGGAAAGCTTGAGGGCAGATGTGGCAAGGCCGGCTCAGCTGATAGGTGGAAAATGTTTTAGCTGAACTGCCTAAATTAATTCTATGCAAAATTAACCCTGTAGATGATCCCCTGCAAATAAGATCCTTTGCTGCTGTGAGAAGACAAGGGCTCCAAACACACCTGGAGTAACTCCTTGTATCTGAATTGGCTTCTGTTCAGCTGCTGACACCAACCACAATAATTTACCTTATCTACAGAATGAATGGCAGTGAATCAGAAGGAAAATGCATTTTGGTAGGGGGTCTGGCCCCATTCTTCATGAAGATAGAGTACAATCACATAAACAGTTGGTTTACTTCAAGAGGGAATCTGGCAGCCCACGAATGCAGAGGCTTCCCCTTGAGGCCATCCCGTCAAGTGCCACTGGGAACATCATGAGAGCTTGCACCTGTCCTGAAGGAAGGGGACCTTCTCTGCACCTACCTGGAAGGAGTGGGGTATGGATAGCACCAACACCTAGAATGATGGTTTAGAAGGAATTTTTCAAATAACTGAGCAATTATCTAATACCTAAATAATTTTTTAGGGGTTTTTACCCTACATAAATATGCTATTACAATGGTAGAAGTGAGGGGATTGAGTTCCCAAACACATGGAGTGTCAGGCAATGAAGATTAGTGCTGCTGACAGCAAGAGAGGTGACTCACAAAGATACAGAAGAGATTTTTAAAAAGAAGATATGAAGATTTGTAAGGTACATGACTTTTACATCTAACAGGCTGAGTTAGACAAGAGAAAGAAGTTCAAAAACCAATCCAATTCTTATTTCTCTCACAACTATCTGCTAAAATAGTATGATTTTCTCTAAAACATTTGGCCTGCAGGACCAAATTTTTCATCCAGCAAATCAAAAACAAAATAAAAATAAGAGAAAGGATAAAACTTTTTAAAGCTACTATATAAGGGCAGGCTATTAAGGTTTCGTGCAGGCTCACACAATTTTTTCCCATAGATTATCTGTTTTCCTTTAACAGATAGAATTTGTACAAACATTTGCAGTGGGATGAGGTGCTCTATGTCAAGAATCTAGAAGGAGTGTAAGGCAGAATTCTTTTATTTTTCCCCCAGCAGAATTGGAAAGGGATGATGGACTCTGCCTTCAGAGGCACATGCTATTTGCCATAAACAACAGAGCATCCTGCCTGTGTGCTGTGGGTTTGAGATGATGAAGGAGGTGCCCTGCTGCTGCTGAAGGAACAAAGCAGCTATTCTTGTTTATGGGTGACAACCAGCAACTTATCCAAAATATTAGAATTCTTGCTCCTCTGGAAAAACATGTTATAGTGGCTGCTGACTTCTGATTTCCTGTAATTTACTTCACCAAAAGGTGACAGATTGATTGCTTAGCGTTGGTTATTAACGTTTACAATTCCAGCACCTCTCATGGACAGCCAAGTAATTCAGAAATTTTGAATACTTCAGGGTTCTTTTGGTCTTTGAGGGAAGAAAAAGCATATAAAACTTGTCCCGTAAGGTAATGACATGTTAACAGCGTGACATCTTGCCACTGAGTGCAGGGTGTAATGGATGGGACTAGCATTGTTAACAACATGGTCATTGTGAGAGCAATGATGTCTCTGAAAAAAAGTCCATGTAGTCACACATAAATGGAAGCCACTTCCAGAATTACCTGTCCATCCTGGTAATTTATAAGTCAGGCTTTCTACTGATGGCAAAAATTATACTGTCTCCTCTGTTTACAAATGTTACAATAACCTGAGCCTTGGGGTTTATCTAAACCTGATTTAGTAGACTTGAACTTCAAAAGCAAGACATTAGACATCTGTTTCTGCAATTCAAAGGTCTTTATTATGCTCAAATGTTGTTGATTGTTTTGTTTTTTTCAGCCTTTGCAAGAATCCTGAGTTGAAGGGATGCAGGGGAACATTGCTGAAATGCAGAGATTTCACACAAGAAGCTTCCTGAACTACCAAGGGCTAGGTATTAACTCCAAACTGGAGAGGAGAGTATTTCCTCTCAGATTTCACGCTTTGGTCTCACCTTGTTTTTAAATTCCTTTTTGTATTTCATAAAGCAATTTTTTTTTTTCTATTTGTTTTCCTTTAGGGTAATTCAAGAGCAGTTTGTCTTTTCTCTGCAGATAGAATAGACCAATATGCTGCACACAGCAAAACAAGCAACATATCAGGAAAAATGTAAACTCAACATGGATGGAAAACCTGAGGGAAAACCTGTCTACTGTGAAGTATTCCCACCAGATATCATTAAACTGTACAATGCAAATCTCTTTTACGAGCCTTGCAATGTGGAATATGCTTAAAAAAGAAGACCTAACATTTTCTTAGATTAAGATCTTATCTAAATCTTAAAGCCTGTGCTCAGGGTATGGAGCTGTCTAGTCATTCAGGTGCCTGCAAAGGAAGTCTAGGTCACAGTGGGGAATAATGAAACAAAATGAGAGGAGGAATCAAACATTAAAGATGATCTTCACTAAAAAATTGAATTAATTCTTCATTACATTATTAATTCACTACTGAGCATAATTAATTTATTGGCCATAAATACTGCTATTTGCTTTACCATTGGGTTCTCTGGATAAAAGCACAATGTGACTTCCGTAACACATTTCAAATGCTGTAATCAGACAGTGAATATCCAGATATTCAACAGTGCTATCCAGATTTAAGCCATGGATTATTTGGTCTCTCTAAACTGCTTTCTGAGACTAGTAACAACTTAAGAGACTGCATGAATTATTTTGAACAGGTCTGATACATGGCAATAGCAAAAACAAAAAAAAAAATCACATTCTAAACACATCTCTGTTTATAGGATACCTGAGGCTGTTTCTAAGTCATTTGCCCTTTCTCCACTGTTCCACTACTTAGAAAACCCCACATTAAAATACCTGTTAAGCTCTATATTCAGTATTCAAGATGTGGACAGATGTGTGGGAGTTCTCTGCACACAGGCAAAGTCCTCACTTAGAAAAGAAAAACACAAATTGTAAATTATGCAGAGAAGTTTGAGAACCTGCACTTGTTTGACAACACCTCTTCTCAACACTTATGTTCCTATTTTCATTACCAGTATTATTACGGCATCTCACATGTTCCCCCACTGTTACAAGGACTTCCACATATGCAGTAGGAGGTGGAAGGAGAGAAATGTCAACCAGAACTTTCAGTTTGGGTCTCAAGTATGTACTTGTGCTCCTTCTTTCCCCAGATAGTAATAGAGCACTCTCAAGTCTGATATATAATCACTGTTGTTCTCTTGATATTGGAGTATGCTAATGTCACACCTCTACAGTCTTATCTAAATGAGTTCACTGAATTGCATAAATAATATGGGCAATGACATGTAAGAAAAAAAATCAAGTTCAGTCTCTATAATCAATGCTAGCTTGGCAAGTCCAAATCATGAATCAAACAATCAATGAAAAAGGCTGATCTATGTCACTGCAATCAGGGACAAACTGCATCTGAATCAGAAAGTTTATTTTTTAAATTGTTTCTTTTGAAGGGACAATCTTCACAGGTAATCTGCAGAGGACATTGCTGAAGAAATCCGGACAGAGCAGAATTCCGCCATCAGAAAGCTTTACTACAAAATTTCCTTGAATTACATTTTAAAAATCCAAATATTGACCTTTCCAAGAAACTGCTAAGTTCTTTTGAAGGAGGAAGTCTAGCTAATTATTTCTATTTCTGTTAACCATTTCAAAAGAGAGGAAAAGTATTTTTTTTCCACAGTTCAAAAACGAGCACTCATATTTTCAAAACCTTAAGGTGTGGTGGACAAAGTTTCATAGGAGAAAGGGACCAGGCCACAATAAGATAAAAAACGTGGGGGAGAAATAAGTTTAATTTATAAATAGGTGTATTTTTCTTTAAAACTTTGTTGCTGGTGAAAGTTATGTAGAATTGTAGCATGCATTCTCTTACTATGTTGCATTAGATGCCAAAAGGCAGAGTTAGAGGCCAGATGATAGCTGTCAGGTGAGCTTTTCTTTCAGTGTCTGGCTCAACTCTGTTTCTTTATGATATAAAGGCATTTGAGAAATGTGACCGTAAACATTTGACATAATATCTGAAATGACAGACTAAAATTGTTTATGCCTGTTCTCCACCTTCTGTTTGAAGGCACAAATCTTCAAGAAATAAGAGTAGACTGCTTCCCCCAAGGATTCTCTTCAAGTGTTGCTTTTGTGCTATGACAGAATGCAAGAAAAAAAAGAAAAATTATCCCCAGGACCAAGACCATTAATGACACAGGGAAGCACTCAACTCTGAGTCACTTTTTGAAACACCACACAGAATTAGGGCTCAAGTTTTTCTACAAAACTTGCTCATTCCCTGACACTTGTGAAATGAGGTGCTGGCTCAGCCCAGCAAGCTGCTTTGATGTACATCAGCTAACTTTTGCCATAGGGTCTGATCCTACTGCTCACTTGCCTGCTTTTAGGGGTGCCTTCATCCCCTTTCCAGACCAGAGGCCTGATGCACTCTGTGAGCACAAGTGACATGCTTTGTCTGTAGTCTTTTGAAGGAAAATGTTCATCCAAACCTGAGACAAATGAAAGTTATTCTTGAAAGAGTTGTGAGGGAAGTGCACAGCTACAACTCCACAATCATAAAGATATCTCATACTGGCACTGCAATTGTAGAAGGCTAACTGTGCATGCCTCCAGTGATGATGATGATGAGTCCAGAAAATCCACTTACAATTAATATTACAATATTACAATCCACTTACAAATAATATTACAAATTACCAACTTTGTATCATTAAACTAATAATCACACCTGGATAAGACAACAGAATTTTCAGAATTTGAAGGATTTCTTATGTGAGGCGAAATAATGGATAAGATTAGGAAATAATTTTAAAGTACAGGCCAAAAACAATGTTATGGCTACTAAGTCAAGCATTCAGATGATACCTCATATATCCAGCTTGTAAATTATTAAATGGTATTTATTTATATGATCACATAATGTTTTTCTCTTCCACTTTATCCATACCTCCTCCAGAAGCCAAGTGTGCTTTTTTTTTTAACATAATGATAGAATGCACAAACGAAAAAAAGCTCTCCTTGGTGAGAGGAGCAGTGTGTCCTGCCGAGCCTTGGGCACACTGAGTGCACACTAAGCAGCAGTAGGAAAGCTGTGAGCCTGGTCCCCTTAATTTTATCCTCCCACATTGCTTGGTGCAATAGGATAGCTGGGGACACATCCTTGCTTTTCCTGTTTAATATTCAGGTATGAACTTGCTGTCTACAGAGTGGAATAGACATCTGGAAGTCATCTGTCTCTGTCTGAGGGCAGGATTAGCTATCCTTGACGGATAGATATCCAATGTATTCAAACAATCCCTGGTGAAGAGCTCTCCTGAGCCTTTTTTATATGATCTACTTTCTCTGCTTACCTTCAAAAATATTTTCTTCATAGTTAACCTAACCCTCCTTTCTTGTATTTTAAGTCAATAATTCTTAACCTTCACAGCATCAACACAGGAGTAAATTTTCTGCCTTTCCCGGAACTCTTATGGAAGTAATTGGCAGCAATCTAAATAAACTGTTTTAATGTGATGGCTGAAGTGAGCATCAGCAGCAACAACAACAAAATACCCTGCTTTAAGCTGTCTGCAGCATTGGCACTGTGCCTATATTCACATGAGCGTACCATGGAATGTTCTCTGGCACTGGGGCCAGCAGGGATGGAATGGCCTGGGTGTGCTAAACACTCTCTGCAGCATCATGGCCAGCAGCAAAAACAATGCTGCCTACTGCTGTAATATCTGATCAGCACAGTTGTATTCCTTGCCCTGGTGGTCTAACCTATGCAAATCAAAACAGGATAAGGAGGCCAGCAGTGGAACAGCTGACTGAAATATTGCATTTTTTAATTTTTGGCTTACTTTATTGATTACAGAATGCCACTTGTTTGCATACTGGGCCTCTAAGTACCTCATGGAAAAAGTAGCATTATTACACATGCACAAATATAAATTTAGTGTGCTTTCTTTTCTCCCAGTTCATTACTCACAACACAGCTTTTATGTGTGTCTCCAGTCTCCCTTTGTTTTTGAACTCATTTTCCATCACTTTGCAGTCCCAACCTCATATAATTTTTATTTCTTATTTTTCAGGATTTCTAAGAATTGATCTGGCCTTTCCACTGCATCTGAGCAACATGCCTATAGAACTTTATCAATGGACTTTTGACCCTTTGGTATCTTCTGAAATGCAGCAGCATATATGGATGGTCTGAATGCTGTTTTCACAAGTATTCTCTGCCTGAACACAGGTCCAGTTTGATCCAGCAGCCTCATTCAGTGTGCCCTGTTCCAGTGTCACAGGAACCTGTAGATAATTCTCTTCTGTTTCTTTTGGAGTATTTCCTCCTCCATGTTCACAGCAAAACCTCTTTGCCTCTTTATCAGTGGTAGTCCTCTACCCTTTTCCATTCACTTGCTCTACCAAAAGCAATTTCCTTTCCCAATCATCAGATAATATTTATGCATTAAAATCTGTGAATAATAATAGAAATACCCCATTTCAAAAGCAGAGAAGCCAAATAGACAAAATTAAGCTGTTTTGCTGGATAGGAACTTCTTTCTGAACTGCCTTTTCCTTCAAATACCATTTCAGCCCTAGTTTAGCTTTTCTCACTGAGCAAGATTTTGTCTATCAACTGATAATGTGAAAGTTTGAAACTTTTCATATCCAGCCTAGATAGTACCTTATAAGCAGTCCTTTGGCTTACAGGAAGAAAGCATCAATAGAAATACAATTTATCTTGTGCTCATCACCCGGAGGGGTTCTCAAGCACTCTGGAGCAGATCTGCAGCTCACACGTGGGCAGAGCACCAGCACACAGCCCAAGGTGTGTGTCTGCAGGAAGAGGGGTTGGTCAGGCACAGACAGACACTCGTGCAGCTCTGCACACATGCCTCTTCTCCAGTTTAAATCTAAGTCTGACATTCTGGCAGAACATTTTAATCAGGGCAAAAGTCAAGGAAATGTGTTATTGCCTCCCCCTTTCCCATACCTGGACTGTTGTGTCTGAAAGATCTTATTTGCTGGGCTCTCCTAATCCGTGGGCCCCTCTTGCCCCTCTCTGCTCAAGCCCACTGAGCTCAGGAGCCCAGCTGACACTTATCACCCCATTTCCTTATCAGGCTCGAGGTAGCATGGGCATTTCTTCTCATCACTTACACAGATTTAAGAGGCAAACTAGATCACAGTCCACTTTCATGTTTCCTTCCTAATGCAAGTTATTCCATTAACACTCTCGTGTCCACTTCAGAAGATTTCACAGGCCAAAATACTCTCACACATCAAAGTAAAACTCTCCAGGCTGCTCATAAATAACTCCACAAGCATAGACAACCATATTATGCAACTATGAAAACAATTTTTCTGTACAAATTCTTCAGAAGATTAACATCCTTTCATATTTGTTTCATCTTATGTATCTCACAGAAGAGGATCTAGGAGCACGGACATGTTATGATGCAGAAAATGCAGAAAAAGTTTCTCTTGGCTGATGAGGTTACCAAGGCACTGTTAGGTATGAGGAGGAATCATTGATTCAGAGGAATCAATTTTTCTGGAAAAGGTTATATATGTATTGAGAAATAAAATAAAAGAGAGGGGGAAATCACAACACAGGCAAAAATAGCTTTCTATAAGCTGCCCTTGGTTGCCATGGTTCCTTACTTGCCTTGTCAATAAAAATTATGAATAATAATACCTATATGAAAGTCAGACATAATCACACTTCTATTGCTGCCCTCACAAACATACACAAATTGTTACTCCTACACTGTATTGATTCTTTCCTCACTCTGGAACCACTTCAAGCAGGTCTTGAAGTTGCCAAACACTTTGGCACCTCAGAGTACAAAGCCATGGGATCCTTTTCCCCCCTACTCAGTGATGTTCTTCCTGTGGCCTCTGAAGGTCCCCACTCAGGGCTGTGTGCCCAGTGCTCCCACAGGGGCTCTCCAGACATTCTCTGCAGGGATGCAGCACGGGCATAGAAAGAACAAGGGAAAACAAGGTTGAAAAATATCCTCCCCAGGACAAAATTTTCTGTGGCAGAAGCGATGGACACAGAAAATTTTTCTGGGGTAAGCACCTGAGGCTGTCACACCTGGTCAGACACAGACCTCTCCCTGCATTGCAGTGAATCCACACCCCGGCATTCTCAAGAACAGGTTCTCAGCTGCTAGATTTCAGCTCCTTCAGAATTTAACAGACACAAAAAAAGCCCTTTCTTGGTTGTGGGAAATTGTGCTTACCACGAATCTAGGGTCCAACTCCTTTCCTTTACACATCCCTACACACCCACCCCCTTCAATTTCCCTCACCTTTCTGCTCCCAGGTTTAGCAGGTGTGACCTCAGAGGCTGTCATGCTCAGCAGTATCTTGCCTTTGGTATAGACTCACATTTTCCTCTGAGTTCTGGGCTATAAAATCATCCAGAAGTCACTGCATTGAAAGTAAGAGGTACTAACTTGAACCTTTGAGAAGGCAGGTACATCCCTGCCAAAGATACTGCTTTTTGAATGTCAAATTACCCTTTTTTTAATGGAAATTTATTAATAAAATTAGTAAGCACTCATAGGCTGTTTTTGCCTTCTGAAAATATTTAATTTGGAATTGTATTTTAATTGTCAAATAATAAAATATTTAGTTAAGTATTCCCCCAGAATACCAAAGAATTCCAGACTGTTCTGCAAAGATCTCAAAAAGCTCTGTAAGACAGGATACTAAGGGAATACATGGAGACTTGACTACCAGACTCAAACTCGAAAGTATTTGCTTTGGCAATCCTGGATGAGTTTGGGATTTTCCAGAGTAACTTGTGATATTTGGTTTCCTTTTTTAGCAATTTTTTTTTATTGGCAAATATTTAATTACTTTATCCTGTAGTTCAGGCATCTGTAAAATTAAAATGTGCCCCTTTCCAGTTATGTTCTGAAAGAGAAGGCTCTTCTCATCTTTCACCACACAGAGCAAGGAAGTATTTTAGTATAGCATAAGAAGACAAAGACTGAGACAAAGCCCAAGCATTATGGTTGCAGCAATTCAAAGCCTTTGATCCTGAACAGATTTTAGACATTGTCAGTTGCACATTTATGAGAGGAGATGGGAGCAGGAGAGGTTAGAAGAACAAAATATTAGGATAGAAAAAACATTATGTGTTCTGTTTATGCTTTAACAACATAACCACTCTCATTCTGATTTATAAAATCCCTTGATTTGCAAGAATCATTGAAAGTGGCAGCCAGTCACCAAAAAGAAGTTTTTTTTCCAGAAAACACATTTTCAGGCAGCTGAAGAACATGTACCTCTATAAGAACTTGGGTCTATACTCCCTATCAGATTTTTTGATACTCATTACACTCTCCGTAATATTCAGTTTCATTGTGATTACTCTAATTGCAATACTAATAATTAATAGTTGATTTTATATCTTGCTTGCAAAGTACTCAGGGGAATGTAACACAATAAGCACAAATACAACATAGAAGCATATGCTTTCAAATTCATAATCAAAGGGAAATTATACATAATTTAGTATGTGAAAGATATTATTAGAAGGATGAGATCACCAGCTTGTTTCCAGATCAGAGCTCTAACTTCAATAACAAAAGTGCTAGATATGCACTCAACTAGATGTGAATTTTTTAGGGAACATTGAAGATGACCGTTCCCCACAGCTGATAAGGAAACAAGGACATCACGTATTCTCTGAGGTAAAAAGAGCGGTTCCTCTGTTTTTCCAGATGAAGAATTAGATTTCACCTCTGTTTTCTAATTATCAGAAAATGTTGAAAAATACATTTGTTTATAATGAGTCTGTTCTAAAAGCTCGGCTTTTAAGGTATTCTTTATAACCTGCTTTTTTAGCTCAAGGTTTTTTATATTTCATATGTTTTTACAATTCCAGAAAGTTTTCTTACCACATATCTGGAAAAAAAAAATCATGTCAGGCACTTGAAAAAGAAAGAACAAAAGTGGACACCAGATAACCTGCCAATGTCAATATTTCTGCCCTTTGACTTTATCTATTCCAATATAGCATTTTACTTCTTGTGTGTGACAGGGAGGTTTTTTTATACTGGGAAATAGTATTCTTCATTGTCATCTTAAATTGTTACTACATAGGTATATATTTTTAAGATTTTTAGGGCCTTATTCTACCTCATGTTTCCATTCCACATATAGCAACAGAGCCTGCTGGAGAACAATTGGTTGTGTGGTACACATCACATATTGAATTGCATTCCACTTTATCAGAATTTTTTAAAGATGTAGCCATCTATCCTAGAGGCTTCTTGTTGGTATTTTGTTTCTGACCTTGCACTGGCAGAAGTCTTACAAATAAAAATCTGTGCAATATGTTGTTATGGCCAGGTTGCTGCCACCACTCCACACCTCTGGTGCCATTGTGTGTACTCCTTTTGCATTGCAATTGCTTGTCAGTTGGAATACTATGAAGCCATTGAGAGCTCTTCTCTGCAATCAATCTTCAGGGAAAAAAAACAAACCCTGCTATTTCTGCTATAATTGAAATTGTAAGAAGTCTCAGCAACCAGAAGCAGTGACAGAACTGCACAATACACCAGCAATGCTCACTGGGGAACTGGGGAGTTTGATGGTTCTGTTATTTTTCTCCTGCAGCAAACTTTTTAGGTTATGCACAATGAGAAATAAGGACTTTGAAGGGCTGGAGGATATCAGAAGATTACCCCCAGGAAGTTTGAAGAATGCAAATAGATATGACTGTAGTAATTTTTAATAACAAATAACATTTCTGCGATATTCTAGGGAACAGTTTGATAGAAATAACCATTTCTATTATACCAGATGTTGTTGACCTTACTGTGTCACCAAGGATAATAATTTTTCCTATTCTGCTTGCACACAACAAATTCAGATCCTAAATAATTTTTTCTATTAAACCTCATATTGAAGAGAAAATCTGGGACGAAAGTGCACTGAAACTTATTTTTACTGTATAAATTCCAAATTGTCTATACAAGCATCAGACCAAGACAGTAAAGCAGCAGTTCACTGACTGCAGAATAAATCAAAGGAAAATACACAGGTTTCTTCTGAAGGGATTTGCATGTGTCCTTTATGTAATAATTCAATTTTGTATAATACATTTAAATACTAAATAATTAAACTGCACAAAATTTAAATCAGATACAGACTTCAGAAAAAAAATGTGAATAAATCTTCAGTTATGGAGTCAAGATTATGACCTTCACATAGCAAAGGGAGCATATTCATCTCTCTTCCTTTGGTAAATAATGTTTTTCTACTTGTAGAAACTAAAATGCCATTAACAGCAAAATCTTGTGCATTCTCTTCCTCATGACTTTCAGGGCATAGTGCACAGAATGACAGGTACTGTCCTCTGAAAATTGTACAAAATACAGGAAGGAACAAGCAAGAAGAAATTTAAACACAAGTGATTATTTTTTGGATGCTCAGGACAAATCCTGAATTCACATTTATGTACAGCCCTGGGCATATGGCTTCAATACAATCAGCTGAAATGAGTTTTGAGCAGAAGAGTCACAAGTCTTTCACGACTTCTCCAGTTTGAAGCATGCAGGTTAAACAGGAGCAGCACACCTTGTCAGTAAAGCGCTGCTGAATCAACCCCACCATGAAACGCAGCTGGTCGTGCTGCAGCTCTGCAATGAGAGGCATTTGCACTAGCAATAAATGCCAAATGATAGAATAATAAAATGCACTTCTTGCAGAAGGCTGGCTTTCTGTCACACCTCTGAACAGGGGGCTTTAGATTCTCAAGGGATCACACCGAGTAAGGAATTAGAAGAAATATGCAGCAGAAATGGTGTGGGAATCTTATTAGGTACACTCTAGTGTCTTATGTCCTGATAGAAGAGGATTAATATCCTTTTTCAAAATGCTATCATCATACCCTTGATACCTATATACCTTTACTGATTGCTTCAGGAGAGCCGGTGGCCTTAATTTCCTGTGGTAATGGTTCCCTACTCTAGTTGCATACTGTATGGAGATGAGTTTGCTTTATCATGCTGAAATTTCCTGCTTCTCATATAACAGTCTTTCACCGTTTTTTTGCATAGCAAAAGAAGAAGAAAGGAAGCCCCTACTTTCTTTTCACCATGTCATTTGTCATTTTATATGTATTTTTTCAGGCTTGTTATTGGGTTTTTTTCCAAGTAATCAATCCTAATCTAAAACTCCTCTCTGGCTGTTTTCATTGATTCATTTTTCATTTTCTTTGACATGCACAAATGTACTCCAATTCTGCTATATTATTTTCCAGGTGGAAAAGCAGCAGCAAATGCATGAACAAAGACTGCACCACTGATTTATCTAACATTTCTGAGCTTATCTAATGTGCTCCTTTTTCTTGTACTTAAAGGTTTTTTCTTCTCTGCACACTGGAAGATGTACATAGTACCAATGCTCATATAAAGCCCAAGGTCTCCAGGTGAACCCTGGCACTCACGCAGGAAGAGGGAGCCCTTTGTGCAAAAGCTGGGAAGGGGAAAACAAGGCAAAGAGCAATCAATTGATCTATTAGCATTGCCAGTTTAGGTTACAGTGCATTTTCCATTAGATTTCAATAATGCTTACATATGTTCCATACACCTGCACAATTGCTAACACAGCTGCACATTTCTGAGATCCAGTTTGTGGAGCTGCACAACCCTTAGGGCATTCCTAATGACACCAGAGATTAAACAAGGTATTACACCAGACACATAATAGTGTATTTATATTGTGCTGTACAGCCAAAGCTGTGCCATATTTAATTTCCTATTGCACAACATCATTGGATATTGATTTTATAAATACAGTAACTTGCAAGCTTTATTAGCAAGCAGATTGATGAAAATATTTTTTTAGAGCTGCGTTTGGGCTGTTTATATTCAAGATCATAACAAAAGAGGCATATAAATGATGTCTTGATGAATTCTCTGGGATGTGAAGACATCACAACGAAAATAGATTGTCTCTGAATCTGGGCCATTTCATCACTTTCTATTCACTATGTTTTCTATGGGAAAAAAAGTCCATGTGAAACAGCAATGCAGGCAATGCAGACCAGACTGGCAACTACGTAAGGGATTAACTTCCAGTGATTTAGGCCCTGAATGATTTTGAGAATCTGAGTTTAACTCTTATTTTAATTGGTATTTCAACAAAACACATTCAAGAGGGTGAGAGCACAAAATAGCAGGGAGAACTGGAAGCATATGCAAAGCCAGAGGGAAGGATTGCACAAAGCCTGCAGTGCCTGTCACGCAAGCTAGAGCAGACAACTGCCATATCACTTATTTCAGAAAATTTCGCACTTCAATTTTGATTTCTATTATCTTATATTTCAATGCAAAGAGAATATGAGGAAATTACCAAACTTATGGAATGGTATTATCTATATCAGAAGCTTTCCATTTGTTTAATCTGCATATTTCTAAGTTATTGTAATGGAGATGCACAAGTTCCTTTAAGAAATTCATATCTGTTGATTATACGGAATACATGAGCTCTCCTTTTCTGAATATATACATAAGTGGGATAAGACATGCCAAAGGCCCACACACCTCCCTTCTCAGAGAACAGCACTGCAAGAGACTACTTTGTATTAGGAACTAGGTCAAGATGCAAACTGAGATGCCATATTCATTCATTATCTGTAATTACTTCCAGTGACTTGCTGAGCATCGTAATGTGTTTAGTACAAGGTTTGGTTTGAGGTTTGGTTTGCTTTGGGAAGAGC